CTTGTGACCTCTTAAAGGTTCTGTGGTTAGATAGAAGGATCTTTTATCCATCTTTATCAAATGTTGCAGGTCTTGTAATTTTAGTGAACAGCGTTGCAAACAGCTACACCATTATCACTATAACTGAAAAACAAAAAAACAACATGAACCTGCAAATATACTGTCGGTTTCTAAGTATGAAAGGGAGATTTTAACTTCTAACCGCAAACTTGGAGACACACTATTGTTTAAAACTGAAGCCAAAAGATTCCTCTTAACTGAAACCAAAGGGCTTTCTCTAAACCATGAAAACTGTCCAGTCAAAGACAGTACACAATACAATGCATGTCGGTACATTTTGATGTAGATTGAGGGACTCAATAATACAGCGAATAAATAGTTTAAAAGGTGTTTGTAGGTGTATTAAATATTGCAGAGAGTGACAGTGATTCTGATCACTTTTGGAGCCTGTCCTCTTCACGCACTCTACCATTCATATCTGGAGGAACCAGCCTCCGTGCATGCTGGGACATGGTGGCTGATTTACTGTCCTGCTGGTAGGGATGAGTTATTCCTCAGTTAGCTCCAGTGACAGAGAGAGCGGAGAGAGTGCGGCCCTCCAGAGAGCCTTTATTCTGGCAGTAATTCAACCAGAGAGAGAGAGAGAGAGAGAGAGAGAGGCAGAGCGAGCAAGGCGCAGGCATGCTGAGCTGCATGCTGTCTGATATTCAGACACATGCTCCAGCTAATTAAACACAAATTCCACATAATCAGCAATTTTTTTCTCCTTATCAACATGCACACATATTCTTGTCTGCCAAACAAGATAATAAGACAATTTGGGAAAGAATGCAAAGGCCAAGAGATTAGCTGGTTTCAGATGCAGCCATCCTAATAAACGTGAAGGTGGTCTTAAAGAAAAAGAAAGAGCCCAGTGTGCTGATGTAAACTTAAAAAACAACATATGATGCAGATGCAGGATTCCTCTTGCGGCATCAACAGGTTGCCATAGTTAGTTTTTTTCTGTTTTGTTATTTTTGGCTTTTATTGGAAAGGACAGGGAACGTTTGGGAGGAGAGAGTTGAGGATGACGTGCAGCATTTTGTTTTTCTCTCTTTCCTTGAAGGCTGTTGTTTATGAAATGATGTTTCCAGGAATCTATTTGCATTGACGTCTCAGTTCCAGTCCTCTGTCTTGAACGAAGTCACTTCAGATCAACTGATTAATTTTTCTGTTTTTCTGTTTTGGGTGCGCTTTCATTTAATAAACAGTCAACAAATGCAATTTGACTGAAAAACCGCCTGTGTTTGTTCTGATTGAGGTTACTGATTAACTCCGATCGCGGCCTTGCTTACCTCCGAGCATGCGAGGAATGAAGATGTATCTATTACTGCAAAGCTGCAGAGGAGCGCGGCGGCCTGTTCGTGCTGTGGCATTAGGGAGGGTATGAGCCTAGAGATGATTTGGGTTTTATTATTCACATAATGCATCAGGGATGAGCCCTCTGAGTCGCTGTTTCATAATCATAATCACAGCTGTAACCCTGCTCTGCTGACTGCCATGTAGACAGAACACGAGAAACGGATGACAGGCGCTCGACATGCTGTTTGTACTCATTACAGAGTGAGGGAAGGAGCTGCGGTTCAACCGGCACCGTCTTCCCGGGATCTCTCGGCTCTCAGCTAATCTACAACTGCTGTCTGATTAGTCAGAAGGAAAAGAGCAGAGCGGGCCGCCAGTGGACAGCCGAGCAGTTATCTTCATTTCTGTCCCCTCAGCTTACAGCTTTCTCTCAGCGTCACACTCATTTCCTCCCTTTTCTGCCTCATCTTTGTCTCTTCTACCAGCTCTCCTCTTTGTATGTTCTCTCTCCTGCACTGTCTGTATCCTCTCCTCCATCTCATGTTTTAATAGCCTGACAAGCAGGGCAATAATCCCTTTATTATTATTCTTGCTGCGGAGAGAGAGAGAGAGAGAAAAAGGAAAGCCTGAGGGTGTCGACAGGGAGCCATTTATATGAAATGAATGTGATTATTCTGGTGAAGGAACCACGCTTCAGAGTCACTGTCTCTGCCGTCATAGATATCCAATATTCCAATATGCAAGTGGGCCGAGCTGTCGTCCCTGTGGCTGAAGAACCTTCTAACAAATCTCCGTCACATGGCCAAAGCCGGTGACAAGGTCTGAACTGAGGCGTCAGTGATATAAGAGCTGAGCTGTACTGTGAGGAACATGATTTTTACAGAAGGGTGTTGTTTCAATCAAGATGACAACGCTACTATGAAGATTTTTAAGGGCCCGAGCACGACCTCGGACTCTCAGACGGAGGAGTTGTAGAGTTCGATGGCACCCTCATTTCACATTTCTGCACCCTCAATTAAATGGATGCAAAAATGCAAAGATAGTATTTTCTTTACAATAAGTAATTAAGGTTTTCAAATGACAGCAGTGACTCAGATTGAGTTTACCACATTCACGATCTGATGGTCATGACAGGTGTCTCATAACACCTTCACTGCTGTCTCTGTAGCTGCACCCCCCCCCCCTTCATTTCAGATGCACCCAAAGTCATTTTTCCATAGATCCGGGCCTGATGGCCACAGGCAGAAATGATTTCCTGTGACATTCTCAAATTCATTTTGGGGGTAACATGTCTTGCAAATATTTCCGGATTTCCTTTTTGTTTCCAGTTTATTGAGATTTATTTGGGACCATTAATTCAGTCAGCTGGGTTTTTTATGAAACAACAACATGATATGATCTTATCATCATAATGGGATTCCACTGAGAGTTATTTTGAACAATGTCCCAGCTTATGATAGCAAAACAATGTTTTTTTTTCTTCTCATTTTAGATTTAAATCAGTTTCAAATGTGTAATGACGTCAAGTTAATGAATCTAGATATTAAAGCTTCCAGGAAAACCAGAATCATGATTTAGATCTATCTCTGTAAGTATCTGGATAAAATGGTCCACACAAAGTACAAGATGTGTCTGTTAGGCTAATAATGAAAGCATTACACTGTGGGTGCTGTGTTTTTGTATATATAGTGTATATATCATACTGTAGGTTAAGTTTTGGATGTGGAATCCATCTTATTGTTATGAAATCATCCACAATTTGCCATGCCAATATAATGTAATATGACTTTAAAGCTCCGAGGAGACACTTTTTGGTGCCTCCTGTGGACAAAACAGCTCCTTCTAACTCTTTGGTGACCTTGTCCTGTACGATGAAAGACCTCATCCTGCTTTCTTTTAACAGTCAAACGTATCGCTCATTGTAAATCTGTACCTTGGTAAATGTAAACACTACCTGTTTTGTCCACTTGACTGACACCGACCCTGTGTCAGCTGTTAAAGGCATTCAAAGTAACTTCATTCAAATAATCTCATCTAGTCACTGGTGGTGGTGTTTGCTTTAGACTTTATATAGAGGCATCAGTTTGTAAACGAGCACAGGAGCTTTAAATAAAGTAGACTTGATAGCTCAACCTAAAACATTTTAAACACTCGGCTAGTCATCGTTCTGCTTCACAGATTTAATGTAAAATCATCTCTGCAAGGACAGCGGAAAAAAACAAAGCTGTAAAGAAACTTGATTTGCTGTGTAATGTCATTGAAAAGCAAAATCCAGGATCTTAGAGGTCAAAATGCAGAAAACTGTGAGCTGTTAACATTATCACTAATGACACCACAAGGTTTTTTTTTACACACATGATGTGCCTATGAAAAAGAAGACAACAGGACTGCCTCTGGCTCTGGTGTTGTCCACATGAAAGTCTGTGTCATCTTTATATCTCTGATCATATCATCATACACTCTCTCTCTCTCTCTCTCTCTCCCTGCAGGCTGCACATCTTCATACCTGCTGACTTTGTGTCTGAGGGCCACTCGCTCAGCTCGCAGCCATGCCGGACGTAAAGCCTCCACCGCCATGTGACTACCCCTGCACCTCCTCCGTCGCAGCCTCCGCCGGCTCTCCTGCCGGCTGCGCCTCTCCGCTCGACCTCCTCATTGACATGGAGCCCTGCATCGCCAACCTCCCCCTGTCCCCCGACCCCTTGAACTCCTTCCCCCGACACAGGCCCGGTGTCTCTCACTACCCGGGCGTCCAGGGGCCTCCCTTCCCGCTCATGGCCCGGTGTAACAGCAGCACCCTGCTCACTAACCTGGGCCTGAGGTACTGCTCCAGCAAGCAGGGCCCTCTGTCTGCGGGGCCGGGTCAGGGTTTGGATCCTGGCTCCTGTGGCCACACAGGGAACAATGGCAGCAGACCGTATAGGAGTATGGAGAATCTGAACTGGAACAATATGGCTGATTCTGGACTGTATGGATTCAGCGCTGCCCCCTACAGGAGCATGGACAGTGAGTTTATTTTACGCTACACCTCTACTAGTCACTGGTGCGGGGGATCTCAAGATGGATCTCTGGTTGAGGCCCATGGACTGGTACCAAACCCTGAGAGCCTTGCCTTTTATCCTCGACATGGACTGGCAAGAAAGGACCTACCCATCTTCCCTCAGCTGCTGTTTCCAGGTGGCGTTGACGAATGGGATGCGAGGAAGGGCCTGAGGGAGAAGCTCCGCCTTCAGAGTGCGAGGTCTTCAGTTGAACCTCCGAAACCTCTTCCTCTGCGGCCTCAGATGTCACCAGGTGCTGCACCCATCGATAGGGAGGGTGTGCATCAAGTAAACTCACACGCTGGATCAAGGCCGTTGTGCACAATGCGCATCACAAACCACGAGGACATCAAGCAGGAGGTCCTGAGGCGCTTACAGCTCCGACGGCAGAACAGCAGCCCCAACCTGGTTCTCCAGAACGCCACACCCAGCCCAAAGGGGGTGAAGACATCCTACACAACGGACAACATCGCAAACAACAGGAGCAGATCCAATTCTGCATCGGAGCGCTGCAGACCTCCTGTGGGGCGCCTTCACATCCCTACCTTCGAGGAGTTTAAGAGGATGAGGCAGACGGAGGGAAAGGAGTCCACAGCGGGACCTGTGGTGTCCAGAAAACCTGACGCTGATTCGCAAAAAGAATCAGGAGCATTTGACGGTAAAATACCGCCTTCTGATCAGACGATCCTTCAGTCGAGCTCTAGTGGAAGAAACGGGAAAGACTCTGAGAAGGTGGAGGGAGACATGTGCAAAGGTGAAAGGACAGGCAGCAGTGGTGAAGCCCTGCACACCGTCACCTCCTCAGGAACACCTCCGTGTAACGTCAGCGCAGCTCCTATCTCCACCTCTGTCACCAGCACGTACTCTCCCATCCGCACAGTTCCCACTCCACGTGCCCCTCTGCAGACGCTGGCCAGCTCAGCAGCCCAGGAGAAACTCCCCGTAGCTGCGTTAGGAGAGGACGGGAGCACCCGGCGGAGGAGGAGCAGTTTGGAACCGGCTGGATCAGTTCCCTTCCCGCCCTGCAGGGAAAACTGGGAACGGCCCTCCAGCTGCTGCCCGGCTCTCCTCCTTGAGGGGACAGACCTGTCCAGCTATGGAGCCAAGATCTATAAATGAAGGACGGACTCATCGGCTCAGCACTGGACCTCATCAAGAAAAGGTTAGTCCAATCAGAAAACTCAAGATTTGAATTTGTTTAAAATATTTATTGCAGCAGCAGAACGTAGTTTGTGTTGGCTCCGACCTCATAACTCCTCACAGATGTCTCTTAAAAACAGAAATAGCTTAGCTTTAAAAGACCACAAAACCGAGGGATTGTGGACAATGCAGCTAAAGTTGACTGTATGAACTAGCTTGTAAGGATCACATTTTAGTGTCAGAAGCGTTCTGGTTTCTGTATGTGGTCTGAGTAGTATCAGCCACTGGCATTTCAGCAGGCGTTGGTTGAGGGTACTGCAGGGAAAACATGCTTTCATTAAATAAAGAGGTGACATCAAAGAGGTGCATGGAGCTGCCACAGTGCTTTTTGAAGTCTCTCCAATCATTTAATTCAAAATCTGAATAAAAGGGTTAAATAGCCTGCTAACATGTCTACCCGTGGCGTCGACAGGATTACATTTCATAGTACGCACAAGGACTATTCCAGCGCGTGTTGGACACCTTTATTTTCAAGGTTCCCACGCCCACATAGAGGATCACACAGAGAGAGAGAGAGCGAGAGAGAACCTATACGACACCAAATCTCGGATTAACCACAAGTAGTCAGAAAACTGTCCAGCTAACTATTCGGAGCAATGTCCTGAGTTTTGATATGCCATTAAAGCTATTCCAGAGAAACATGAAATAAAAGTCATAATTGAGCTTGAATCTAGCCTGCAACATGTTAAGTTTGAAAAAGTCAGATGTCCTTTTCGGCTCGTCAGCCGTAAGAAAGCTGATGTCACCTGGAGAAGAGTAGCACATGCTGTGGATGTTTGCTGCTGTGTGCAGAAATTGTCTTTTCAAGACTCTTCTGAGCTTTGAAAGCAGTCACTGATGGGGATATCTGTAGTCTTGAATTGCTCCCAGACTTCATCATGGACTAGCCGGCTGCTGCCATTAAGTCGTGCCACGAGTGCTAGCAGTGCTAACATTAGCAGACTCTGTGCCAGTATCACACTCGGCACGGGCTTCACTGCAAAGATGCGTTTTTGTAAATGCTATGTTACTAAAATTCTTCCCAAACACGCAAAATGAACGTAATTCAGCACAGCTTCACAGAAAGGTTCTGATACTTGTGCTGTAACCCTTGACCTTTACTGTGACTAGTTAGGTTACACCAATCGGATGCCTTCAAATGTATTTGCATTGACACGTTGTTGAGTGGATGAAGCCACAGACCTCGACTCAGAAACAGAAATGAAAGAAAGTAAGAGGAAAAAGGGCGGAGTCGCTGTATCTACCTAACCACCTGCACACAGTCTGCCCATGCACTTATTCTTCACGAGCTGAGAAAGTTGAACAAAATAAAAAGCTCTATGCAACATAAATGAGAACAAATGGTGCATGAATTATTTCTTGTTCTGCTCGTGCTGCTCAGTTCTTGTGAGACCAGTGTTTCACCAATTAGCATGATATTTTTTTAATCCAGTTAATCCTTTTAGTTGTGAAATTAGATTCTGTAGTTCACATCACATGTGAGCCCTGTAGGAGCTTTCCTCCACAGAGGTGTGTGAGTGTGTTTATCGGCGTGTGTGAACACACTTTCATGTAGAGCCAGAGTGTTGCATCGGTGTGTGCGAGTCCATCTGTTTAAGCCTTTAACGTGTTGTTGTGTTATCGATTCATCTCTGTTATTGTGCTAACAGCTGCCGGAGCTAACAGTGTTGGCTCTTCAGACGAGCCTGTGGGCGAGGTGGGTTGGCATGAAGCATGTCAGACTGGAAGGCTGGCAGCGTCCCCACAGACCTGCTGTCTCTCTCCTGTCTCTCACTGTCAGCTGCTGGCTAAATAAATGGAGTTTTCACCCCGTCCCGGTTCATTCTGATCAAGGACAAACAAGACGAGGGTGTGTTTTACAGCTCTGTGGTGCCAAGCGGGTCCAGGGCTCCTTGCAATGTAAATATTAGACCCTGAGCACAGAGGAGCCGCTTGATAAGGCCAGTTGAACGATACAAACTCCGCCCCACGCTGAAGGCTGCAGGGTTGTGATAGATAGGAAATATAGTCGGTATCTCTCTGTGCCTGCCACTGACTGTCGCTTCTTTGTCTGCACTGCTGGATAGGATGATGGATGTCTGAAGCTGCATGAAGGCAGCAGAGAAATAACTGCTGTGTGTGTGTGTGTGTGTGTGTGTGTGTGTGTGTGTGTGTGTGTGTGTGTGTGTGTGTGTGTGTGTGTGTGTGTGTGTGTGTGTGTGTGTGTGTGTGTGTGTGTGTGTGTGTGTGTGTGTGTGTGTGTGTGTGTGTGTGTCTTTGTGTGTAGGCTACAGTGTGTGTGAAAGTGCAGAGCTGCAGTCTTTGCTGCAACTAAAGGTTATTTTATCAATTTATAAATGTGGAGATAAAAGTGTCTTGAAATTGCTTCTGATAAATCTGATAAAATCTGATAAACACTAAAACAAGACTTAAAGCTATGCATGTGGCTTCACTGAGGTTTTCCACTTTGTTTATAAGAGACCTGGTGTGAGATGTTTTTCCAGTTTCAATTGTGACATGACAAAGGAGATGGCCGTTTCACTTGCAGTATAAAGGTTATGGGACCGTTGTTACTTCAGATGTCAATCTATGAAGTTAAGAAACCGGCTCGGCAGCAGGGCGCAGATCTCTGTTTCGAGGAGGAGAACAGGAGAAGTCGGCGATCAGGTGTAGGTGGCCAACTTCAAAACATGACGAAGATCATAAAACCCTTAAAAATTCTCCTTAATGTATTATATTCATAAATATGGGGAGGATTGATTCACTCTAGTTTTGAGCTACATGCTAACATCAGAGCGCTAACAAACTCATATAAGTAATGCTAACATACTAATGCTAATCCAGACTTAAATTCCCATTTTCCCCATCAAAGTTTGTGTTTTAGGCATGCAAATGTGCTTATTGTCTTTTAATACAAGCTCAGTTTGATGATAATTTAAATAGATTTGGCTGTTAACTGAAGTGTATGGTCAAATTAGACCTGATGAGCGAAGCTGACACATTAAGGGTTACCCTACAAGTTACATGCAAGTCATCCTGCCACCCATGAGGGAGAAGAGAGACCCCCAGGGGCCCCGCCCACTCACAGAAACTGTTAAAGGCATGACTGTGAGAGAGACTCGTCGCAAGAACGCAAGTCAAGGAAAACCAACAGACTCCACAAACCGCCGATTCTTTTTGGTTTGAAATACCTAGAAGAAATGAGAATCTGAAGACAGATTTCACCGGTTTTATCCAAAAGTCAAACCGAATAAACGTCATATCTAAATGAATATCAGTCGTAGAAATGGCTGCACTCGGTCAGGATACCCAGGGAGGGGTGGGGGAGGATGGAAAGCGAAACCAAAAAGCTTATTGGTTTAAAACACTGGTGCTAAAGTACAACATCTACTGATATCTAATCTGAAAGTCGCATATTATACCTTTAAATGTTTCCAGTTTTTTAAAATATAAACCAGACAAAAGTAATATCCACACATAAGAGGCTAGAATCAGACAGCATTTTAGCATTTTGCTTTCAGACGAACCAGAACGGTCGATTGTCTCCCAATCGATTAGTCAACTAATCATTCAGCTTTACTGCGATCCTCTCTCTCAGAACCCATCGGCAGGGCCAGAAGCTCACATTCAACATTGTTTATTCCAGCTGAATTAATGATTTATGTTGAAAAAGCACCTCGAAAACGCAGCGCTATGCGTACGCTCCCCTCGTGATTTAAAAGAGTCTCGAGGCTCTGTGACTGTTTTAATACTCAGAGATTTAATTAATGAAACATGACAGTATTCTGTGTGATCTCTTCCACCCTGAGGTGTTTGACTTCTACCCATAAGTCTCTTTGTTTAAGTGTTTCCCGCTGCTGAAGTTGCATTCTGTTACTTAAGCAGCTCTAGTGTGTTATTGGAGTAATATTCATGTTATTACACCTGGGAGGCTTTTCTAGAAACACCGTGAAGCAGTGAAGAGCGCCGTTTATTGTATTCTGCCGTAAAGGTGTTATGTGTAGCGTGTTGATGAGGGAGGCATGCATCCACTTGTTTTATTTATCTCTATTAGATGCACACGCAGACGTAAATATATTAAACTCTTTGCAGTGATATATGCATCTATGAAGACGACAGCCGGGCTCATTTCAGAGTCAAACCACGGCGTGGAGAGCGGTGATCTATCACATACAGTGTTTCCTGATAGATTAAGCTGCAGGTTATTGCTTCCCATGCATCATCTGCAATGTGACAGCTAATACTGTGAAGGAAAGGCTTTTAATGACAGTTTGTCAGAGGGGGGAAACTGATAGGATGCTTCAAAACTGTATTAATTAAATCTGGCTTTTCACCTCGGCGGCACAAGCTTAATTTGGACATTTGGACTCCTCTGATCGGCTGTGATGGCTTTGTTTGTTGGATTTAATTACATGCGTAATGCAAAACAGTAGACGCTGACAGGTTTGTCTAGTTTAATATGATTAAAGTGTGTGTGTTAAAGTGCCACAGAGCACGAGAGAGGAGGGAGACAGCTGAGAAAAGACGGCGTTATGTAAGAAGCATTAGAATAATGAGACCTCTTTTAGGTCGCCTCAGGATATTTGAAGATACTTTACAGGCTAACATTAAAGTGAATTGCATACCATAGCAGAGGTTAAGCGGGGACTGTAGAGAAGTGGATTGACAGAAATCAGTCAAACATGCTGCGGTTCCTGCTTCTCGAATACATTTCGATTTAATATGTTTGGGTTTTGGACTCATGGTCGGTCAGCAATAAGAAGCTATTCAGAGCTTTGGTTCTGTGCTCTGATAACAGGTGTCACATGGTGTTTTCACAAGAAAACAAAACTCCTGAAAATGTCTTATATTTTCAGGAGTGAGCTACATGTGTTAACGCAAACGGACAACATTTTTCACCAGACTTTGTCCAGTCCCCTATAGTGTGAAAGCATTGGGAAATATTATGGAAAAGTCACTGCAAGCGAGCCGGCCGGGTTGATGACTTTAACATCCCGCGACCAGCGCAAGCTTCCTGCACATAACGAAGCTGTTACATACTCTCATAGGCTTGGCAGTATGTTCTTTCCATGGAATCATGCAATTGCATTTAGCACTGATATAAAGGCAACAAAAAGCCCTCATTATACCACTGGACTCACACACGTCTGCCGGGCATTTAGGCTTTCCACAGCGTCTTTTTGTTTGTTTCGCCTCCTGATCTGTATTAACTAGGGCGTTCCGAACGATAGGGGATTTTTGGTGCCGATACAGATATCAATATAAGGGAAAGAAAAAATCTGATACCAATATATTGACCAATACATTTTTAGCTCTATGTTCGATCTGCAGAGATAGATAGACATAGATATACACATTTATTGCCTTGATCCCTCAAATGCAGTTATCAGACACTTGTGGAAAAGATGTACAGCATGAGGAAGACAAGATGGTCACTCACCTGGAAACTGCTAGTGTAAAACAATGATACTCAAATGAAATTATATTTGGCATTTAAATTAATCTAGTAATATCGGCACATATCTGCGATAAAATTAGCCGATACGGATGGTAACTGGGTATGCTAATATTGGCCGATAGTATCGGATCCCTACATTTCCTTTGGTAAAGAGTGCATGTACTTTCGTCAATCTCTGCCTGGCATTAACATCATCTGGTCAATATTGGAAAAATCTCAGGTTTTCACACCTATTATACACAAACAGTTGAGACAGTTCTGGGATAAGGCAAATAAAAAAAACACAAAATGTGTAAAGTATACACAGCAGTGATGGTGAAACAATGATGGTGAAATACTCTGGACGTGCAGCCTTACATTCAAGCTCAGGAGGCAACATCACTGTATCTTTAATGTATTTATAGCTGCTGCTGCTGCTGCTGTCGGCTAAAGACCATGTAGCACTGCCATGATCAACACATAACCCCCTCCTGCTCCTGAGACGAACCCCCTCCCCCTCCCTCCCTCATAAACAAACACCACTTTGAAAGAAAAAGTCAATATTTCTGGCATTTACAGCCTTTCTTTCTTTCATTCTGAGAGCCAGACGTTGTTGAGACTCTATTATGGGCTTTGACCCCTCGGCTTATTAAACCTGCTGAGCCCATAAAGAACCACAAGCACGTTTAGTTTGTGAAAAATATAATAATCTCTAACTTGCTGTTAGAAAGCTTTTCTTTTCTTTTTTTTTTTTCTGCAGAGGTATTATGTTTCATGCTCATGCCCGCTGGACTGTGAAGCTCACCAGCGTTTAAAAAAGAAAATCAATAAACGTTGCATACTTGGTAGTTCCTGTTGTTAATTATGTCTGTCAGCAAAATAAAAAGATGTGTGCATTACTTTGAAGCTACACTGATCAATATGACTACATGACACGTAATGAGAAAGGAGTCGCTTCAGGGAGGAACTCAAAGGGAAACACCATCATCACATGAGAGTTTCATTTTCTCACTAAAATCCGTCATTTTTTCAAGCTTCCAAATTCTAGAGGAGAGAAGAGGGATGTTTATAAAAATGTTTTTATAGGTTGCTTTACAGTATTGTAATTCACAGTAATGACGTTTTCCAAGCAGCTGTGTGATTGAATTGCGTACATTCTTTGCCCTGGGTTTTTGACTCTCAGGCTAGATTGATGTCACTGGCTACTATCTGATTGGTGGAGGTTACAAGACATGGACGTCACCTGTTGGTTTCTGAAGAGGCATTTTGAACCCAAACGATGGTGTGGCTTTCGGAAATAGTCCAAAAAGTTTGGCTTAAAAATTCAACCCTGTACAATAAGGAATAAATGATGATCTGTTCTTTCTTTAGATGGCTTTATCACATAATGTCAACAGTTTTAGAAAGAAATGAGCTCATATTTTACTATGATGATTGAATATTTCAGTCGTTTAAATACAAACTAAGCGACAGATTTGCTGCAATCTTTTTGAGCCTTTTTGTATTTTGGGAAATATCGGAAAAATTGTCGGAGTGTTTAAAGGAAAAGAGATATGACAGCGAAGAGCGGTGAACATAGAGAAACAGAGAAAATGATTGTGTTTGTGGTTCATGTGGAGCGTCTCTCTCTGAGGGCACACCTATTTCTTAGACTTCATTTATGCGCTGTGTGTTTGTTTCATGCACTTATAAATGCACGCACAGGTCCCTGCAGGCGTTCATCTGTGGCTGTGCTCGTGGATTTGTGCATTTCAGTGTAGTGCAGATTTAGTGTAGTGATTTAATGTGTGAGACTCTGCATGTGTGCTTCTGTGAAGGTGTGTCAGATCGCATGCCGGCTGCTGTGTGCTGCAAGAATGGATCCCCAGCTGACAGACAAAGGAATGGAGGAAAAGAATGTGTGTGTGAGCTGGCAGTGTCCCTGTGGTCCCGGGGTTCAGGTGTTAATGTCCGCTGATGGTTCTAATTGCTGTCCTATCGGGAGGGGGGGTGAGACTGAGACGGGAGGCATTGATTTGGGTGTTTCGGGGGTTTATAGGGATGATGGAAGAAAGGGAAAAGGGAGGGCTAGGACGGAGGATAGAAGAAGGAAAGAAGGAAGGATGTGAGCTAGAGAGGGAAGAATGAATGAAAGAGATGCTGTATGGATCCAAGAGCTCTGCCAAAATTACAATTTCCCTTCCTCTCTTCTGCATCCTGATTTTATCCTCCCTCCCTTTTCCCTTTTCTACGGCTCTTCCTCATTTCTTCGCCTTCCCTTCTCCCCTTTTCCCTCCCTCTCCCTCTCCCATCCTCTCCGTCCATCTCTCTCCCCTCTGTACCAGCTGCAGTGCAGAGATCTCCGCCGAGGCCCCCGTCAGGCTGTCAGCTGACCGGGACGGAGGCTGTGACATCACCGCCCCCTCGACTGACTGTCAGCCCTCCGCCGTTGCCATGGCAACGTCAGCAACGGCCTGCGAAGCTGAGGCTGGCGACGAGACGCCTGCAGGAGGAGAGGAAGCAGCAGAATGCGTAAGGATTCTTTCTCATTTCTTCTTCTCTTTTAAATGTCCTCAGTGCGTTGTCATGTCTCACTTTTGCACGCAGACATTTATTGTTGCATCCTCGGGAACAGAAACCGAATCTATTAGTATTCAAAGATGACTGGGACCAGTAAGGGGACTGCGACACACATACACACACACACACACACACACATACAGATGCACATCACTCGCACATCCTGATGCAGAGGTATTTGTTGAGACAGGAGCAATGCAGCGCTCTGTCTTCCAGCGACAGCTCGACGTCTGACGATGCAGTAAAAAGAGGATCAGCAGCTGGATGCTGGTAACTCAGCGCTTTCCTCCTTCCTTCCGTCCCTTCTCTTTCTCTGCATGGCTCCTCTTCGCCTCAGCTGCAGCTAGCATTGTGCGTTCTGTCTGTGCATCTGCAGAACAGGAGAACCAGACCGACATGGAGTCTTGCTTGCATGCTACGAGGCTGCAGGTAGTTTAGAGAACAGATGTCGAGGTGCGTTTTCTCCTTCTTGCGTTTCTTCATTTCTTCTGCTATGAATTCACAATGGAGCCTGCATCTGCATTCCCAAAGAAAGAGCTGCATTTGATATTCCAGCTGGACATGAATTATTCTCCTTCATTTATAAGCTGATAGCTGCAAGCTGTATATCATGTTGTTCTCCGTTAGAAAGGGATGGGAGCCTTTCTTCTTTTTCAGTCATGAGTATTAGCTGTTAGCTGACACAGCTCAGTCAACATTTGAGGAGCTAATCTTTGATGTAAAACCAATACCATGAAATGCATTGATTGCAGGTGACGTCTCAGGGGAGAGGATACGCATGTCAAAAGGGAAGACCTTTGAACCTTCCATCTTAGGTCACCTCTCAGGGGCTTCATAGACCCTGAAAGGATTTTAAAAGCCACGTGAGGATTGTTTGTCCGTGCAAGATGCTGCAGCATGTCGGGGAATTCCTCCCTTAATTCCAGAAAATCTAGGAGATGCTTTAAATTGTCACTGGTGTGACGTGTCTCATCTTCAAGGCTGGACGGTTTTGAGATTTGATCAGAGCACATTTTTGGATGTGTGGTCTTGTTGCGTTTAGCGTCTGCCCCAAGACTTGGCAGACGATTAGTGCAGCTTCTCGGTATGAAATTTGGATTCTTGGCAGCTCTGCAGGCTGGGATCAGAGAGATAACCAAGATTTGTTATGTAATGATGTCATGACAGCGGGCCTGGTGACATCGCACACAAAAAATTCCTCACATTGTGGCACACACAAGCTCTGATCTCTCTCATGTCATCATCCTCACCTTATCTGCTCCTAGCATTGTGCCCTTTTTTTTTCTCCATCTGTTGCCATAGCAACTTTACCGCGTGATTGACACAAGTGTCCTTCCCAACCGGCAGCACACTGGTCTGGGCTGCAGGCGCTCCAGCTCGGACGCAGCCTATGAGCTGGCTGAGACGGTGAGGGCTCAGCGCGAGTGTCGTCTCCGGCCTCACTACAGCGACCCCATGCCAGCAGACGCCTCCAAGCGCAAACAGCTGGAGATGAAGATCGCTGCCGCCGCGAGACTCCATGGCCACCGGCGAGACCGCGACAGAGACAGAGACAGTGGTGAGTACATGACACATTAGAGGAAGCTGTGTCACAGTTATTGACGTGTTTTCTGCATGGAAAGTGCGACATGTATCCCAACAGTTCAGTAACTTTTAAGCAAACGGAAATAAAACTGAAGCCACACAATTTTATAAAAACATGTTTTTACTGGGGCGTGCTGGTGGCGCAGTGGTTAGACCTATCTCTGCATTAAAGGCGCAAAAGCCCAAAAATAAATCTTTAAAAAACAACAACATGTTTTTACTAAAATGCATTAAGTGCATCGTTATATAAAGGTATACAAAGCTCCAGCTCCTTGTAATTTGTAAATTCAAGATAGAAAATGTTCTGAATCTTTAATCTGCATCTAGATTAAAATAGTTATCTAAATCTGTTGACAATCATGCCGATGGGTAAAGAAGCTTCAATCCTGATGAGACATAAGGATGACTTAAAAATTAAATTGAGTCATGTTCACTGTAACTGTTAGTATTACCTCATCGTGTAAAGCAGTCAAATGTTGCTTGAAATGTGTCAAAGTGTGGTTGCATCTAAGCAAGGAACTCAGGAATATTGAATTCTTTTGTCAAATAGGAACAAGAAAAGAATGAAGAAACCGACGATTAGAAAATAATCCTGCACATGTAAAACATCATTTTTGTTGGTCTGATGGAGTGAATACCAGTTTCACAATGATAGACAAGAAATGAGTATGGCCTGAAATATTTGCCCTTGAGTGTGACCTCTAGTTCAAATTATGAGTTGTCTTTGCTACACCTCATAACACAAGAGTGGTGTTTAAAAAAAGTCCAGAACAGCATAGAATTCTATTTTAGAGGATGAATAATAAAAATAAATGAATTCTATTTCATAAATAAATGATACAAACTAAAGTGACTGAGGCAATACAGAACGATACTTTTACCCAAAAAGTCTCTATTTCAGACGGAGCTCCCAAGAACACTCAGTCCTACATTTCCCATAATCCAACTCCTTATTATCTTTTTTGCCTCTGCAGCTGCCTGAGCAAACAACCACGAGCCTTCACTCTGCACTCCTCCAGGTCAAAACAGATTTTACTTCAAAAAAACTTGAAAAAAACATCACCAAAAGCCACGTTGAGATAACCTTGATGACATCACTATGACATAATCAGGATTTGTGTCCAAAATGAAGCCTGGGACTTCTAAACTAGATATTTCAAACAAGCCAAGAACACACATGCATTCATGCGAAACAAGCTTTGACCACTGCTTTGTACAAACAGCTGGGATTCGATGTTTCCTTCCTGTGCAGAACTCCATGCAGCCCACTCTGTTCCTAAATATAATTCTAGTTAATGTAATTACAGAACTGCACGTCCTCATTACACCTCCCTCACCTCATCGGGGGAAGGTGAATCCTCCTGAATTTGAGTAAAACTAGCCTCAACATTTTAGAGTCATTCCTATTTGAAAAGGTCATTCAGAACTGCAATTGTCATGGATTCACATCTCTTCTTTTCATGCCTGTGTCCGAATCCTTTTGCCTTTAGATCCATTTTTTGCCTCACCCACCAAACACACACACACACACACACACACACACACACACACAGATCCCCTGCTAATACTGTGGTCCTCCCTGTCAACAGAAGCTCTTTGACGCTGGACACTGGCCACAGAATGTCACTCAATATGACATATGCTAATGTTGACCTTGTTGCTGTTTCCAGTGGATAAAAGTGAAAGTGACAGAAAACAGTTTTTTACTCTGTGTCAAAAAAAACATCATCGATATAAAGAGGTTTTCATATGAATAAAAAAAATACTGTAGGATTTTCCCAGTGAAACAGGTTTGAATGAAACATGTCAATGTTTTTATTATTTACAGCTTGGCAAACAAATGCAGTCACACACACACACACACACGCAGTATAGTATTGACATGAACGTGACCTCGGGTTTAGGGTTAAGGATCTAATTATTGGAGAGGGATGATATCTATAATAGTTTCTTCATTTTGACATGACCAGTAATCATTAGTCCAGATTAAACGGGCGTTAGCTCGGGAGCCTGGTATTACGGCTGTTTGTGTGTATTTGTGTGTGTGTGTATTTGTTTGTGTGTATCCTGCCTTGCAGTGTGAATAACAAGGCCTGTGGAGAGTAAATCCATAAACATCATGGGCACTAATGAACCTGACCTCCTTCACCCCCCTCTCCTCAGCTCCAGCGGCTATCCGTGGCCGCTCTGAGCCCCCTGGAGAGGAGCGCCAGGCGGGTCTGGGTGTGACTCGGTCCGGGCAGCATCGCTGGAGCACCATCAGCAGCCTGAGCGCCGACAGCGGAGTGGTTGGCCTCAGTGATGAGCGGGAGGAGGAGGACAGCGAGCCTCGCCGTCACCGCAGAACAAGAGGGGCCGATGTGGAACGGGTGGACAGTGGCATCGGCCCAGGTCTGTCCCGCACCTGGAAGAGACCCTCTGCCTCCCTCAGGGCCTGGGAGGCGCAGAGACCCTGTCCAGACTGCGGACTGAGGGACGGGGTATCCAAAGAGCGAGGAGAGCGCATGTGCGAACGCTGCTCTAAACTGCGGACGGAGCGAAAGGAGGCCATCCTGGAGTTTCTGAACACAGAATCCAGCTACGGCGAGGACCTGCGGATCATCAAGGAGGAGTTTTACTGCCCCATGCAGAGCGCCGGGCTGCTGACGGCCGAGCAGCTCACTGTGGTGTTTGGTAACGTTCAAGAGCTCATCGACGTCAATGACCGCTTCACTGAACACCTGCAGGACAGCATTGACCAGGCCTTTGACCAGGTAACACACAATCCCCTCACACACACATTATTTGATGCAGAAAGTTGGAGAAACAGGAAAAGCAGCGAGACAGAGGACTCAGTCTTAATGATGCATACAACCAGGTTCAAGTGCAGTGCCCAAAGACAGTTCTACCTAGATGTTTTGAGGACTAACTGATATTACAGCAGTGACCTTTAAGGTCACATTTATAAAGACGTTGAATGGTAAGGTTTCTTTAAAGTGCCTGTAGTGCAATGCAAATATTTTCAATTTAGTCCACGATAAGTCAAGAAAGTCTTATGGTCTAAATACAAAATTATTTCAACTGCTATCATTCATTCATGATGCAATATTATCCAAGTGTTTGTCTAGACATATCCATGTAGCCTAATTAGTTTGCACATAAAAAACAGAATCCCTGTCAATCTTGTAAACACACCAATACCAAGTCTCTGGTTGTCAAATACCAAACGGTGAAATCAGCATGCATAAAAACAAAGAGAAAAGCTGAGTTTTTTTGCCTAGTTTTCAAATATCAGTAAAACAGGACTCAAGTTTACACATGGAGTTTTGTTAGGAAAGGCTCGACCATCAAAATATTATTTCAATATTCAACTGATTACTGTAAAAAAATTTAAGGTGGTTTGATAGGAAAGGCAAGTCTGAGTTTCAGTCAAAACGATCATACTGCAAAGTGCTCTTATTTGTAATGCTGGCCAAAGCAACACCATCAGGTGTGTGAAATCGAAGGCGACATAAAGAGCCTTCTCATCTAAGTTATCTGTTGATTTCTTAATCTCTCAGCAGCTGTAGCCTTCGATCTCAAGGATTCGTCATGCACGTCTTTCCACAAACTCGCTCTGTCATTGGTGAAAGTATTTTTAGTGTTTGCTTCACCATCTTGGTCTGAGTTGCAGAGTCACCTTAAAGAAAGATTTTAAACCAGGATAAAGGATCAATCGACTGCTGTATGTACATGTTTCTCTGCCTAAAGCTTCTGAAATGATGTAATATTTCTTTACTGTTTGTCTTTGTTCTCTGTCGGAAACATTTATGCTGCTGTCTTGACACTGACTTCAGAAAAAGATTTCTTACATAAATATTTTTGTCTCTAAATTGCTTAGTCATACCTTCTTCTTCACTTGTAACCTGACATTTGAGATATGCTCTATAACTTTATAACCCTCAGCCATTGATTCAAAGGGTCCTAAGTCCCTAACTAACTAGACTCTTCTCCACTGCTGCCCCCCGGTGGTGGAACAGACTTGCAAACTCCCTTTGCAACTTTAAGAAAAAGCTAAAGACCCAGCTCTTTCATGAACGTTTAATGATATTAATGATGACGTGTTTTGATTGATAATGGTGATTTTAAGGATGGTTTTGATGCTGATTAGAACTCTGAAGAGCAGCGGTCGATGTTATTCTTTTTGCCTCGGTGCAATGCCTTTCAGTGTCTGATTGGACTTAAAGCTGTTGTTTGCACTTACTGAAGCTGTGGCTCAGCTGGTAGAGTTGGTCATCTCTCAACAAGAAGGTTGATGGTTCAATACCCAGCTCCTGCAGCAACATGTCTGATGTGTCCTTTTGCAAGACACTTGACCCTGAATTGCTCCCGCTGCTTCATTGGTGGCATATGAATGGTATTAGTTATTTCTGATGGTTTCACTACATAGCAACTACTGCCATCACTGTGTGAATGGGTGTGAATGTGTAGGTGTGACATGTGGTGTAAAAATGCTTTGAGTAGTCAGAATACTAGAAAAGCGCTATACAAGCTTAAGTTCATTTACCATTTTTAGACCCTTGCTTGTGTTGTACTTACTCTCTGATGTACGTCGCTTAATGAATCATAGCATTGTAGTAGAATTGATTCAAAACTCTTAGGGCTGGGCCATTATGTCAACCTCCAATGATTCCTCTGATCTGCCCAGTAAAGTATATGGGCCGAATAAAGACTATTGGCAGATCAATCATGCACAATAATGAACAATGGCTATTTTAAAAAGAAATGTTTCCCAATGCAAGACATAAAGGAGTTGAACATTGATCATTCTCTCTCCTGTATTTGACCTCAGGGAGATGAAGATCTGCTGACAGTATACATAGGAGAGATCTTCCTGGAGTTCGTCAACATGCTGCCCGCCTTCCAGACCTACTGTCTGCAGCAGTCCACCTCTGTCAACATGCTCAACACGCTGGAGAAGGAGAAAGAGCTGCTCAGGTACGCACAAAGTCACAAGGACTCTTGTTTCTCTTTGCTTGTGTGACAGAGAATTTACTCTGGGAGCTGTTCTTGCCAAGGCTGTTGAGTATAACTCTAAATGTACAAGACAGTGGGCTATTACTTATTCAAAAGAAGATCTATTTTAAGAGTAGAGCTGCAATGATTCATATTTTTAGACGGAGCCGTAGCAAACCCATGAGTCAGGCTGTCCTCTGATTCCCATGAATCAATTTTGAAGAGTTGTGCTGGCGACATGCCTGTGATTTTTTTTATTCAGCCTATTTATTTGTGTTTGTTCCTACAGGATTTTCCTGGACGTTTCCCAGAATGACAACACGGCTTTGCGGCGTATGAACTTGCGCTCCTTCCTAATGGCGCCTCTCCAGCGTGTGACCAAATACCCGCTTCTGCTGAGTCGCATCATTAAGGTCACTTCTGAATGTCATCCCGACTACTCGCGTCTACGGGAGGCCAAGAGTCGGGTTGAATCCCACCTGGAGCACATCAACATGAAGACGAAGCAGGAGGGCAACGGTGTCACCTGGTCCCTGCGCTCATTCCGCCGCGACAGCCGTAAAAACCGGGAGGTCATTAACATAGAGATGCGAGAGGTGTCGATGAAGACGGTGGGCTGGGCGAGAGAAAACACTAGATTTGTCATGGAGGGACCCCTCCAGCTGTCCCAGCCAGCAGATGGTCACTGGGTGAAGAAGGGAAGCAAGGCCTTAAAGTTCCAGAACGTCCAGAGTCTGCTGATGGTGAGGACACAGCGGGCCGGGGAAACCCCTGTACAGGGCACTGACCCTGTGGCGAGGGGGGATCAAGTGGACGTTGGTGGAGAAAGCATACGAGATGGTGTTCTGGTTCTAATCAAAGACAAGAGCAGCGGGAAGTTCACCGTGTTGAGAGAGCCCATACATTTGGGAAACTGCATAGTGTCCACGGATCCGGACAGTGAGGACACATTCGAGGTGCTCGACATTCGAAAGGAGTCTTTCGTTTTCCGTGCCTCGGACAAATCTCGCACCCAGCAGTGGTTCCATCAAATCAAGAGATACGCTCGAGACTTGGGCACCTGGAGGAAAAGGCGCAATGCTTTGCCCAACATCATGATCAACACGAACCAGGCCCGCTCCTGAGACTAACCAACCCCCCTCCGCCTTTGTCACACTGTAAATAACCTGAATCCTTCTACTGCAAAAACGAACTGACAACGAGAAGCATTTCCCAGTGAAACCACTGTTATGACTCATTAGATTTCAGAGGACAAAAATCATTCCCAAAGTTTCATAGGGGTCGTATACTGTACAGAAGAAGTGGACATAGCCACTGTGACATCAACCACGAGTCTGTTAACCGCACTTTTGAAGCCAATAATCTGCATTTGGGCCACTGCCATCTTGGTTTTTTCCAGAATTGAGATAATGGGGGTTGAGACACTTGGTTGTCTGGTTTCCATGGTATTGGCTTGACAATCACAGGTAGCCACACCCCAAAGCATACTGTGCTTTATTGGTATATTCTTAGTTAGTTGTCAATCTGGTTTCATGCAAATGTACTTCTCTTTGCAACCAACCAAAGGAGTCCCCCCCCCCCCCCCCCCCCCCCTGGCCATTACAGAGAATGCAGTCTTAAAGCACTTTGTCCTTGGCTTCACTTCTAAGACAAGAGGCTACGTCCACTTCTTATATGCAGTCTATGGATCAGAGGATGAGACAGCACTTCTTTTTCTTTCAAATCTATGAGTGTGCCATGCTCTTGCAAAATGAAATACGAAGATTGAAGTCATTAACACTGAGGAAAATTCTTGGACAACCAAAAATCCTGGGCTGTGCTTGTCAGCCTTGATTGTAAAGACTGTTTGCTCCTGGAGAAAGAGAGCTGTGTGTCTGATGAAAAGCATGACTGAACATGACTGACTGCTAAAAAGAAAAATTGTAACGTTCTTTTTTTTTTTATATACAAGGCATAATACAATTGGGGGTGAACATTTGTTTTGTGGTATGAAAAGTCGAAGATGTGGTTAAGAGCTTTGCTCAGTGGTTTCTGTTTGTTGTCACTGCCCTCTCCTGTTTGTGTGTCGCCCTCTTCTGTATGTCGGCGGTAGAGCAACTTTCACTGCCAGGGATGCAGTTGAGCAGAGCCTTTTTTTGACAGGTTGAACACTGTGTTTTAAATTTATAAACGAGAAATCACGAAACAGCAATAACCTCTGCCCGTTTCAAAATAAGTAGCTACTGTTTATGCATTTTATTTCCAAGCATTGTCTTTTGGCATTCAGGTTTGTCCTGCTGTGTAACTCAAATTCATTGTGGCAGATTTACTGCGTCTTAAGTCTCAAATACGGTCCTGTTTGAAGGATGGCTTAGAATACAAAGGAAGTTTCTGTTTTGGTCAATCATGGGAATGAAATAACAGCAGTCTGTGAAAAGTCTTCTTAATCTTTTTGTGTTAAAATAATGATTAACAGGTTAAGTTTAACATAACAGATTACCCTGTGTACGTTATAGTGTTAACCAGAAGGACCTTGTGTGGAGTCACACTTTTGCAGTATAAATTGATCTTACTCATCATTTGGTGGGTAAACTGTCTGGAAAAATTGAAAATGGTTGCTCTAATTCTCAGCTTTAAGGAGAGCCTTTTCGTTTAGTTTTTTCCCCTCTAGACTAAATCCCAGTTATGAAATCTGAAGTAACAGACAAAAAGGGAAAACAACTTTTGGAAAATCGGAGGGAGTTAGGAAATCATAATCAAACAATATCACATCTGTTGACATTTTGTCAGTCAACTAACCTTTTGACAAATCTTCACAGCAATGTAAGAACACAAACATGTCTCTAATACTACAGATCCTCACCTTTTACCCATAAAGCACAAGGCAGAAATGTGTGATACATAAATATGAAACTTGTGTCCTGGTAACTTTGGTGTTAACAGGTTGACAAACTCTAGTTACTCGAGATCCTCTCTTCACAAACACTTCCCTACCATCTTGTCCAGACCTGGTTTGAACTGTGTGTTATTATGTGGTCTAGCGGTGAGCTGTTGTGCCTTGGTACTTGATTACTGTTACGTTTGAAGGTACTGACTTATTTGCAGACTGTCACAGTAGCATTTATCTGAGATACTGAAAAGTCTGCCCTCTGCTGGCACCTGATTGAGATCATTCTACAGGCAATATAATTATTCCTCTTGACAGTCTCTGGCTGCTGATCCTCACGCATATTTAAGTGTTTTTTTTAATTTTATTTATAAAGGCTTTATTTTGTTTAATGCACTTTATTATGATCCAGTAATAGAACGCTCTGAAGTATAACTATGTTACACAGTCTTGTTTATTCACAATTCTTTCAATGAGAAGAAACCATGCTGATTGAAGCCGATTCAAGCAGGTTTAAAAAAAAAGAAAAGAAAATACTGTCATCAAACCAAAACTACTGTTTAAGACTGATGCTGTTTTATATTTGCTTTGAAGTAGCACTAGAAAAAGGTAGTGGATCACTGTGTTTGGGAGGGCAGCAGGGATACTAGCTCCACACCAGTACTCGTCCTTTGCTGTCGAAAAAAGCCGTTTCAGATTTAAAATATTAAAAAATACAAAGCCTACCGAGTTTAATACGGATTCTTTTCTGATTTCCTCATTTTCATTTTGAAACACCTGATGTATTATTTCCCCAATGTAATATATTGTGAATTATATTAAAAAATGTGAAACTTAGCATTGCTTATTTGTTCTTTTGTTTTTGCCTTTATTTTGAGACAGAACAGTGGATAGAGAGATTGGGAAGGGGAGTGCTGACCTGCGGAAAAAGGAGCCACAGGTTGAATTCGAACCCGGGCCTCCTGCTTAGGGGAACACAGCCTCCGTACCTGGGGCGTGCACACTAACCTCTAGGGCAGTGGTTCCCTAAGTGGGGGTCGCAGGACACTGAAAAGGGGGTAGCGAGAATTCTTCCAAAAATTAAAAGCGACTTGAATTTGCATATTTTAACCCTTATTATACAAAATAAGTAGTTCAAGAGATGACTTGTGTTCTTCTTCTAGCATTTCTTACAATAAATAATGTGTTCAGGCTGTTGTGTTCTTTTGTGTTGTTCCAATCCCCGTGTTTGGAAAGGCCTTTAAGTGTGCCCGGGTGTGCGCAACGGTTTAAACCACCTCCATGGACAGAGGGGGTCCCCAGTCTCTAGCACCCATGACCCCCAAAAATAGGCACTAGAGACTGGGGACCCCCCCCCCCTTGTCCATGAAGGTGGCACACTTTATACCCTGCTCTAGGGTACCGGCGCCCCTCCTTATTTGTGCAATATGCCAAAAGTACAAAGTGTTACGACGCCAGAAATGCAGAACGTAAAAATATATTTACAGCAAAATGAAACATTTTAGGACAACTGATCCATCACACAGTATAAGTGGAATGCACTCATCAGTATCACTCCAGGAAACACAAGCACTAATGGCAGAGATGGATTATGAATTATTTCTAGAAAATACATTTCAACTTTACTACAGCATGGAACTAAACACTAGAATGCAATGTTTACAAAAGGGAAAAAAAGAAGTAAACGAGAAAAATCTGAGAGCACAACGCATGCAGGACATAATATGACATTCGGCCTGTTTTGCATTTGCTTGTAGACTTCCAGAGAAAAGCTTCATCACGTGACCAAAGCAATACTATGGCTTAACAGACATATTCATTGGCACCTTTCAGCAAAGGCTCGTTGATGTTGGACAAAAAAAAAAATAAATTACAAAAGAAGGAATCTAACTAATCACAGAGTAGCTTTCAATTATGCTCAGTGCATCTTGGTCATTTCTTTGGCTGTGCCTCTACTGGAGCCTCATTTATAAAAAAGTAAATAAGAGTAAGGTGCGCTTGATCCAACTCAAAACTAAGGCTTCTAATTAAAGTCAGAAACTATCAAAATCTGGTATCAGTGTTGTTCAACTGGTTGTTATTGTCTTTTGGGTTTGAGATTCGAATATGAAATCGATGCATCAGATATCTCTTCTATAAATGAGGCTCCTGGATCTCTGTTTGGATGCATAAACTTTTCAGCAATCAGAGTCTAAAGAAATACTACCAGGCATCAACTCAACACATTACAACTTTGTTTTTGCAAAACAAATACCCACAAAATATAAGCTCGGCATGGTGGGAACACTCACAATTGAGGTGTCTCCACCTGCCTTCTTGAATGATTTAAACATCAATAAAATGTAAGAAAAAGTTGACATTTGCAAATTTGATGTGACAGTTGCATAATCAACTCAGTGAAAGAATAACACAGGAATACAGAAATAGAAACAACGGCAACCGGCAACAAACTGAGCCTTCGATCTTAAGCCTCCGAACGAATGGTGCCAAACTTGGTCACCGTCTGTGCCAGCCTTCTGACAGACTGTCGTCCATTTAAAGCCCTTTCTCATGCTTGCCATCGCACAAACACACACTCACACAGTCACACAGTCTGTCCTCGGCTGCTGGGGCCTCAGGTGCATCCCTGGGATTTGGCTTCCAGGTAGGTTAAGGGGCAGCAGCCGTGGAGAGGTCCCAGCCTGGGGGCGGCTACAGCATCCTCCTCCGTCTCCCACAGCCGGTCCACCTCTGACCTCTATTTTTCCACGGCGGACTCCTGCTCTTTTGCAAGCCCGCGGATGGATAGGTCGTACACCACCTCCTCGATTTTCTTCACGTCATACTTGAGGCCGTCGTAGCGTTTCCGCAGCGGGTCATTCTTCAGGTTCAGCAGGCGGAACCCCGAGTCAAGCTCGTTGATGAAGTTGGAGATGCGGAGCGGCCGGGTGTAATCTCCTGCTGTGACGCTGTTTACTGCTAGCCGTGACTTCAGGAAGAAACAGCGGCATGAGTTAAAACACAACTCGCCTGTACAGTTTCCTGTTGCCATATCAATAAACAACACACTCACCAGCTCACTAGCCATGATCAGCACACCTGCCAGGTAGTCCTCTACATCCAGGTGAAAGCCTTTCTCTCGCACCACCTCGACTGTAAGGCGAAGAGAGCAGAGAAAGAAAGATTAGAAGATTAAAGCAACTTTCCCTCAGCTGAAAACAAACTCACAAAGTGATACCTACTGCCAAGTATCTGAGCCACTTCCTCCCGAGTCACAAGCGCTTCACTCTCCAGGTAGACAACAAAGGCTGCTAAGAAAGCCAGGCGCTGCAGGACAAACCGCCAGTGTTCATGGAACCTAAAGATAAAAAGGATCAAATAGATCAGAGAAAGAGGGATTTAACACGTTTCACCAAGATAGTCCACTCAGTGAAAACTCTGATTTCCACAAAGTTCAGAGTATCTACATAAAGACAAACAAGATAAATAGATAGACAAGAAAAATTTCTGTTTCCCATATTGTCATAGTTTATTTTTTTTCCAGCTAATGAGAAGTTTGGAACATACTCAAATTTAAACATTTAACTGGCAAAAATATATATACACAGTATATATATATATATATATATATATATATATATATATAGAAGTGGCTCCTACCTGTAGTACTGCTCCATAGGAAATTTTGTTTTGAGGTCTGCAATTTGTGTCCTGACGGTGCAGAACAGCTCCCGCACCTTCGCACATTTACTGGGAACTAATGAGAGAGAAAAAAATGCAATGTTTTGAAAAGATTAAAAAGCTCAAATAATTCAGGAAAAGTCAAGTGCTACTTACTTTCTTTGAATCCAGATGGCTGGTGGACACTTTGGAGTACTGTTAGTATTTCTCGGGCAGTCTGCTCCAATGTCTGGACCACTTTCCGGATATCCTAGATAAAAGGTCAACTCAATATAAGTCTAATGAAGTGTTTTTTTATAGACAGATAGAGCAGGTGTCCCATACTGTATATGGTGGTCAAATCCTTGATGCGTTGGCTGTGGGTTCAACTCCAACCTGAGATTATTTAGCGCATATTATTTTCACTTTTTCTTCCCAACATTTCCTGTCTCTATTCAGCTGTCAGAAGGTAAAGGGCCAACAATAATCTCAAAAGAAGAGTTGTGTTAATACAATAAACCAGCTTTTCAATCAATAGATAATCATACCTGTAGGAGCTGTTTACTATTATTAACTAGAATTATTTGTTTAGTTATTCTAGATGTTTTCTTTATTTAAAATATATTTTTGATCATATTTTCTTTTTGTAGTTGTGCATTTGGTTTATTTAGTTTTGCATAATTAAGTATTTTGATTTGTTTGACATTTGGGTAACATTGTGGGCACCTGAGGTTTAATAGGCAAGAAGGCAGGTAGAGGACCAGCATGCACCTGGGTGGGCCTATGTTTTTTCATTTTCTTTTACCTGGGCAAGAGAGGCAGCAGAAGCCATGATTTTTATTGTTACTTTTTTTTGCATGCTTGCTTTCTGCAAAATAAACCATCGGAAACGCAGAACTTTTGAATGGACAATGGACTTCTTCCGCCTGCTACACAACTTCCCCATGGTGCATCAGTGGCATTTTGACTATGTTTGATATATGTTTTATTTCGATTTATTCCCCCCCCCCCAGACAGATAGCCACTTACCAAACTCCTCTGACATGTCAACTGAACAGAATCTGTGCAATCGAAATTAAAACCCCAAAAGATCATAAACACTTTGAAATACAAACGAGGAAAATATAAATGTTGGTGGAGAAAAATGAAGAATTTTCATAAATAATTTATTTGTAGATGGCATGATAAAAAAATGCCAAAAAATTATTTATTATTTGCTGTAAGAAATAAAGTTTGGTATTACCCAGTCAGGTAGTGGAGCCTAAAGAAGTGGCTGTAATCTTAGATTTTTCCAAAAATGTTGGTCCGTCCATCAGAAGGTAAACGGCCTCTGTGACATTAAAGACTACTCTTGCATATTTAGTCAGTGTGTATTACCCAATTATAGACAGAGTAGGGAGGGTCATCAGAGAGTCTCTCTCTCTCTCTCTCTCTCTCTCTCTCTCTCTCTCTCTACAGTACATCATATTACTGCATGTATCTATCTGTAAATCTCAGTCACTAACCACCTACTTTCCTGGGAGCTCTTGAGCTCTCTTAGGCTCCTCGAGATCGTTGGTTGACGGCCTGCCAGAACAACCTCCACCCTCCCTCCCCATCGGATTGTTGATGGACGGCTTGCCTCCCCCCACTCCCACCCCCACCCCCTTGCTCCCTATCCCTCTTCCTGCATCTTATCCCATCTCTCCCTCTATCCCCTTCCAAGTTTTTTCTTACCACTGTAACTTTTGCTGCTTTGCTAAAGTGCTCATGATGGATAGGCCGGATCTTTGTAATATAGCAATAAGTAAGGTCTTTTACCTGCTTTTTGTAAAGTGTCTCGAGATAACACTTGTTATGAGTTGACATATACAAATAAAAACTGATTGACTGATTGATTGATTGATTGATTGATTGATTGATTGATCCCTTCACCAATTCTGGGGGGGGAATTGCAGAATACAACTGATATTGTCAATTAATCAATGGCGTGAATCAGAGGGGATTTAGAAGTGGGTATGTGGAAACTGAATACCTGCACTACACCACAGGTATTACACATCTTAAAGAACAACAGGTGAAGCGTCATGGCGCATGGTTCAAATGAAGGCGAGCAGCATGTCATCATTTATATTTTAAGGAAAGTGAAAACCCTTTTTGTGCAATCTTATAAACATGAGCAAACATCATCTATCCTTATCAGTCATTTTAGGCTCTACGGCTCAACAAACCGGACTTCATTACAGTCTTGAAGCAACGTGAAAACATGAATTGTGTTGTAAAGATTCTCCTTAGCTGCTAGCTAACACTCCCTGAGAGCTAACGGGGAGGCAGGTGTTCATTCATACCTCTCGGACGTCCTGGTCGGCGCTCAGGAAGCCCTGAATATAACTGAACATCTCGGTGACTGACATGTCGGATACAAGCTCAAAACGCTCCGGATTAAATCAACAATGAATCGTCCTGCTTGCTAATACATAAAAACACCAACGTGCACGTCTCCTCCGCCTCTCCGTCCTTTGGGTGGCGCTGTGTGATGATGTCATCGTGTAAACGTTGTGTCGATTCCATTTCTCTGCTGAAGATATGTGGCAAGATATTTCTACATTTATTTTTTTATTTTTTTTACACAATATTTGTAATTTTTAGATTGTAACTTTTTAGCTGCAATTTTCAATTTAATATTTTATTATAATTTTCATTATATCCCGAAGCAAAGTGTTACATTCATTAAATTTACCGGGTCAAAATCCCATTTTTTTACTTTTAAGAAAGATTAAACATTAAAACAATTCAGATTGAATGTAAACTAAATGTAACTGTTTTGCTTTGTTGTTTTATATTGTTTTTTTAAATGTATTTTTTATTGTTAATAAATTATTCACAATTTTGTACGTATATCTTCAACTTATTATATTGTATATTAGTACTATACGTACATTTCTATCTTCTTCTCTTATAAAAAGATTGTCTCAAGCCAGATAAAGTGCGTTCACATTTGAAAGGTACTTCTGCCATTACAACAACAAAAAATATAATAAAGTAAAATTTTAATAGCAAATTTACCATATTTATTTCTATTTCTAAGTTTAACACTACCTATTTCTAGAGTTAGTGTTTAGAAGCCTTTTCATATTTGTCTTCTGTCATTGTATACTTTGTGTTTTTTATTTCTCACTTACTTCGCTGATGAAAACATATCTTTAATGCCAATAAATCCCCTTTTGAATTGAATGAAGGTTGTTGTTGAGTTGGTCTGTCTTTAGCATAGACTGTATGTAGGCACCTGGTACTACATCAACCTTACATCTCAACGGGGCGGGGACAGCATTGTTGGGAGGATTCTAAGCCTGCTTTAAACCTATGGATGGAGGCTTTGTGATTTCTCTCTGTGTGAATAATTCTAAAGTTACATCTCTTGATTTTGCTCTAAGAAAATGCTATAATGATACAAACAATGTATGGGTGAAATAAATCCTTAAGCTTTTGTTAGAATTGCTGTATTTGTGTGTAATAAACCCTTTAAAACGTATTAGAAAGGAGTATTTTGTTTAATAGACCTTTAAACTTTTAGAAGTGGCATTTTGGCATTTAATCTGTTGTAAAATGTGCTATAGGGGTGAAATAAACCTTTAAATCTCTTAGAATTGGTATTTTTTTATATGTAAATCGTTCAAACTCCTGTTAGTTTTTTTTAAATTTAAATGTAATAAACCTAAAACTGTTGCTAGAATTATTGTTAGGTTATTTGAAGGAGTTATTTGTAGCACTAGACCTTTAAAACAGTTTGAGTTGTTATTTTGGTGTAATAAAACTTTAAACTGTTGTCAGTATTAGTATTTTTTGTACAGAGCCTTTAAAACTCTTGTAAGAAGGGGGCAATTATAGTTTTATAGACCTTAAAACATGTTATAATTCATATGTGGGTATACTTAGTAGGGAGCCCAGATAATTATATTGTTATATATTGTTAATTTTTACTTTTTTCAATTCAATTCAATTCATTTCAAAAAACTTTTATTTGTCCCCGGGGGTCAATTCAAAGGCACACAGAGCAGTAAATTAACAACAGTGCAAGTACGAAACATTTTAACCTAAATATAAAGTGTCAATTTAAATACAACTTAAAGCTTAAACTTGACTTAAAAATACAAAATATAAAGGAGTAGCTATAAGTGGACAGTGATCAGATGTAACCATAACTATGTGCAGTAGTGACCAGATGTAAACAGAACTGTGTGCAGTAAACGAGAAATAAATATATATATATACAGAGCTATGTGCAAGTATGAAATACTAAATGATAAGTTATAAGGTGCATGGTGAATAATGGAACAACAGAATTAATATATACAATATAACTGTAAAGGTAAATAAAGTGACCGTAGTGCAATGATGGATAAGAAACAACAGGAATAAAGTAACCAGAGCTGTATGAATACTGAAATAGAAAGGATAGAATAAAGTGATGTAGTGCATGAGACCAGATAAAGCAGAGGCAGTTAAGGTGGGACTTCAGGGTCACCGTAAATTAGCCTATAATTAACCTAACTAACTCACAAACTAACAAACTGACTAAATATAAAATGTGTGACAAAAACATCAAGTCTACGGTTCAACAATAGACCAAATATTGGGGTTCAGGGCTCATCCCGTAGACTGGTTCAACACATGGGTTCAGGTTCAACACTGCTTTAGTTGCTGTTTCAAAGTCGTCCAGTAGGGGGCAGTGTCGTCACTGCAGCCTCCGGCTCTGCAGACTCATAACATTGGGCTGACGCAGGAAAAACAGGCAGTCAGCAGCCTGTTGCTCGAATTATAGTCAATCAGACTCCGTGTTTGCAGGTCAGGAGGTGCAAACCCGCGCTTTAGTAAGCTGTCCGCTCGTTAAAATTACTCTCTTTTTCAACCGTATTGTGATTTGGATAGTCCTGTTTTTTTTCTTCTCTTTTTCGTGAACTCAGGACTTTGAAACGATGAAGCCAACTGCCGTCCAGCTGAAACCCTGAGATGGAGAAAACCTCAGCAGAAGATGACTGTGTGGATTCAGGAGCCGAGACCGGAGGGTGAGTGAAGCAAGAAGTCACACTGAAGATGTGACTGATTTTAAAACGTGTACTCAAGAGTGTTTGGGAACTTTTAGACCTTTTTGTTAAGAACAATATTGCCATTGTCGTTGATTATGTGTGCTTCATGGTGCATTAGCGGTAGATGTAAGCGAATTAAAAAAAACAAAAAAACAAAAAACACTTTTGACCCTTTGATGTTTTTCTTGCGTGTGTAAGGACATATCAGACACACAAAATAATCCTAAACCATGTGCCGAATTAAAGCAAATATGGGTTAATGGAGACAAATTATGCTGGAAGAGTTGTATATAGTCTAACAAGGAAGATATCATGAAATAGACATTTTGTTAGATGGAGTTTGGTCCCTTGAATACAACAGAGCTCCATGTAGGATAATTTATATTGTGCAAAAAATGGCCCCTCCGTTTTGATTTTTTTTTTCTATTTAGTTAAAGCATACCGTTTTAACTCAATCAACCATTAGGTTTACTAACTTTTGTCATGATATACAGACTGTAATATTTTTAGGCTGCTCATTCATGCAAACATTCTTGGATTGCATGCCTGATTAAGCATTTGATGTCATGTCTTTTGGGGACATATGGAGGAGGTGTGATCCTAATTCTCCAGTGGAAAGTTAATCTTAATCACTTATCCTAATGAGAGTTCAGCTACACACATGCTGTACATGAGGAGCCTGATGCAAAAGTTTGACAACAGATTTATGTGACGACTGTATTGTTCCCTCTGTTTTCAGCCATTAGACAGAGATGAACTACAGTTTCACCTGTGGTATGTCACTGCTTGGTGTTGTACTATGTAGTAGTAGTTGTGCGTGTGTGTGTGTATGTGACATATTTTTACAACTATGTCCTAACGTAGGTCCTTCATTTATTAGAGTTTAGGTCTCATATGAGTTTAGGTACCAACTTTATCATGGCACTCTGATTAGCCACAGTGAGGACAACACTTTAGATATGACCCTCTCTTGACCTATCCCGTTTTATTGTTCATGCACATGACTGTGTGAGTCAATAAGAATAAAGAAAAGCGTTAATGAACTCGATCTACAGAGCATTATTAATTCTAGTGGGTTTTTTTTGTTTTGTTTCACAGATTTTAACTGTGTTATTTTGGGTATTTTATTAATTACCTATGTTAATATGCAGTATCAGTATAATGATAAAAGGTTCTGTGTGATTTATTTTGTCAATATCATCCAGCCTCCAAGTTCCTTATAGGAGACACTTTCCTGGCTTATTATTCTTACAATAAAAATGACATATATAAGATGTAAACGTGCCAGATTAATTCTAAAAACTCATCTTTATCAGGCACTCTTTACTCGGCTGATGTAAAATGTGACAAACATGAAAAAGGCTGTTAAATAGCAACTTTATGATAATGTATACTAGGCCATTTAACAGTGGTAAAGTAATGGTAAAGTATTCTAAGTTATGCCCTGTTGTCAGAGCAGTCTGTGACCGTGCTATTTCATTAGCCATGAACTGGAACCAAACAGCATAATGTGTGTGTGTGAGAGAGAGGGCGTGTGTGTGTGTGTGTCATGGGAAACACAGAAAAGATCCCTGTCCAGAGTGTGAAAGGAAAAGGAAGGAGCTGATAACCAGAGAACCACCTCCTCCTCTGCCTCAGTCCACTCTTCTGCTTCCACATCCACTTTTTTTTTCCTCATTCACCTCTCTGCGGCGCGTTTCTTTCATCCATCCTAAGATCACAAATAACACACTTCTATAGCATTATTTTACTTCAAAGATAAGAAAATGGTTCTTTTCCAGCATGTCGTTCCCCTCTCTCTCTCCCTCATTTCCAACTCTATCCACTGTCCTATCTCTCCATTAAAAGCCTAAAAATAAATCTTTAAAAAAAGTGACCTACTGTATGCTTACAGCTGCACTATGAGTCTCTACTATTAAGTAAACAAACGACTACACGTCCACTCAGTTAATGAAACTGCTTCATAATGTTTTCTGTTCACAGGAAAGTCTTCTCCATTCTGTGGAACTACACGTAGCATTGATATAAAGGCAGAAACTATCATTAAAGCGTTGTATAGTGGACTCTCTTGCTCTGTCCGCCTCTTCCTACTTTTTACGTCATGTCTTTAACCTCCTCAGACCCCTCCCCCCCTCACTCCCATCTGACAAGAATAGTGTCCCACTTTGAGGTGCATGTGTGAACAACCAACTCAGGAGGATTTCAAGGGCAGTCTACCTGAAATTTCCGAGACATTTTCAGCAATGCATAATATGTGAGAACAGCTTTTCCCCCCAAAGTACATGAACACACATTGTCCAACTACTCCTCAATGTCTGCACTACAGATTGTTGGCGCAGGACCTCACAGCATTGTAGTTAAACTCAGCATATCCAACTAAACTTCTGTTATTTTTGCACGACTAGCTCATTAAAGTCATACGTCTTCCAATTGTGGTGAAGACTAGT